TGAGATGTTTACCTGTCTAGTCCCCAAGTCTCTCTCTCTCTGTATGTGTATATATATCACACATGCAGACACCCACACACACTACACACATGCACATACACAGACAAACATCACACACACAGACACACACATGGACACAGACACAGACACAGGCACACACAAATAGACACACACATACAGACACACATAGAATATTCAGGAAAACCCTATAATTTCTATAAAGCTGCATTAAAAAGGCTTGTTTTCCTTTCCATATTGCATGAAGGACACCTTATACAGTTCATTCTACTAGCTTGAGTAACACAGAATATGGTTAATACATGAGTTACAAGGAAATGGTCTCTGTGTGCTGAAAAATTGGGACTTAAAGTTGAGATTTGCTCTTGGTGAAAAATGAATGATCCAAATTCACTCAATTACTGGGAGTTAGATTCTGTACAAATATTAAGTTTCATTTCTATTGAGTGATAGAAGAAATAGTAGTGTTCCATCTTAGAAAGCTAGATTTTCCTAGCTGGTCAATTAACCTTGGATTGCTGACTACACATATTTTAAAGCCCACATCCTTCTGGGTTTACAGATGGGGAGAAGTTACAATTAACTTGTAAAATTGTGGCTTTGTATTGCTAAAAATTATCAGTTGGTTCAAATAATTTTCCAGTAGAGAAATCAGGGATTGTTTTTCTCTCAGTCTCCTGGAATGCTATCTAGAACTTTCCACCGTTTCTTAGTGTTCAGAAGCAAAAGTAGCCATTTGCTAGTTCATTAGAGAATTTTATTTGTGGTAGAAAGATTTTCCTGTTGAATTAAAAAAATTCTGAGTCTTTTATTTGCTTCCTTGAGGTGATTCCTGAACACACACACAGACACAGACACACATGCAGACCCTCACAGATACAGACACACATCTCCCAATCTTCTTTTGAAAAAAATTAATAATTATTCCCAAGACACATACAAGTATACAAATGCTTAGAAAAACTTTGAAAGTATTTTTTAAGAACTTATAGACCCACCCAAACGGGCAAACAGAGAGCAGCAGACTCTCCATCTTAGAGAAGTAGATTAGCAGAGAAATCAGTATTAGGAAAAAAAAATTGAAAATTTGTCATGCACTTTCATTATTTCAACTTGCAATTATCAAGCACCTACTGTGTGCCAAGTCCTCAGCATGAGCAAGTTAGGGAGAAGGCCTTGACTACACAGAGTTTATTTGCTGGGGATATTGATCGTTAGGTACAGCATGGTGGTCTTGACCCTCAGGATTAATTCTTGCTGTTACTTATAAATACAACCACTCTTTTTCTTCAGAAACCAGAGATGATTTTGATTAATTGACCTGACAGTGCATAGCACATCATATTTACTTGGGGGAATTTGATAACCCCAGAGAGTCCCCGAGGAAAACACGAAAATTTCCACATACCTTTTTCCTAATGGGATCATAGTAGAGTGTGATGGTGAGGGTTTAGGGTTCTCACAGGCAGAGGAAGCTTCTGGAAAGACTTTTATCTCTTGTTGACCCTTTTACCCACAGAAAGAGAAATCAGGGCAACAGAAATCTGGAATGGGAAAGGAAAATGGTCCGTGAAAATGAATTGTCTCCTTGAGGAATAGGCGATTTGTTTCTCCAGGAGTGTAGTATTTACAATTTAAACATACATATGAAAACATGATGACTGCGAATAACATGTGACAGGAAGTATTTTATATACTTGGAAATTTTGAGAGGTAAAGAGATAATATGGAGTATTTGCTAGAAGTTGTTCTTCGATTGCTATGACCTGAGATTGGGTCAGATATTCAAAGGGCTTAGTTCCAACTACTGAATCCCAAAATGCCAACCTGTGTTTCTCGGAGACCTCTGAGTGATTCTCCTGGTCCATACTCCCGAGAAACACTGTTCTAAAACTGGGTACAAATCATTGCTTTGCTGTTTGTCTCACTTTTATCAAGTAGATGTTCACATAGGTTTTTATTGGGGTAACACATGACTGTTTTATTTTTCATGTTGCTTTAAAACATTATCACAGTTAAAGGAAGTCAGTTTTTAAAGTTAATGCCTAAAATAGGATCTATCTCAAATGAAACAATCTTATATTAAATTAGGTGAGGGTAAGTTGAAAAAACATACACATGACATAACACACACTAAATGCACTGTGTATGTATGTTTTGTTTTTATGTGAAGTGCTTTTGTTTACAGGTGCATCTTCTTAGATTTTCATATTGGGTGGCTAATTTGCTGCTTCTTTATTTCAAATCTTTAGGTGTGCATCAAATATAGAATTATTAAAATAATAGAAAACTTATAACTACACCAAGGGATTTACTTCACCTCCTGGGAAGTTTATAATTTGTGCTAAAATTCTGTTGGATAGAATTAGGATTGATCATAAGAAATTAGAAGCACTGGGGACAGGCGGAGGGCTCCAAGGTCTGACAACTTGAGTTTGATCTTCAGGACCCACATGGTGGATGGAGAAAACTGACTCCCAAAAGTTGGCCTCTGACTTCCTTATGTGTGCTGTTGCTCTAACTCTCTTTTCCCCAACTCCAAATACATAAAATTATAAAAAAATAAAAAGAGGCCGGGAGTTGGTGGCGCATGCCTTTAATCCCTGCACTCGGGAGGCTGAGGCAGGTGTAACTGTGTGAGTTCTAGGCCAGCCTGGTCTACAGAGTGAGTTCCAGGACAGCCTCCAAAACAATACAGAGAAACCCTGTCTCAAAAAACCAAAATAAATGAATAAATAAAAATAAAAAGAGCTAAGATCAGTAACTTGGAATGATAGTATATACTTATAATTCCAACTGTCTGGAAGCTGAGGCAGGAATATTATGAATTGGATGCCAGCTTGGACTACACATTGCATTTGAAGCTAGCTTTGGCGGAGTAGTTGAACCCTATGTCAAAGCAACAACACTAACAAAATTAGAAGTGTAGAACACATGATATTTTCTTATTGTCTGATCCTACCAGCCTGAGTTGCAAATAAATTACTTTGATGTTTATAAAAATTATCTTCGTTGTTTGTATATATGGTTGTGTGTGCATGCATGCATCTGTGTATGTGTGTATTTGCATACTTACATGTCACGTGCGTATGTGGAGGTCAGAGGACAACTTTGTAGAATCACTTTTCTCCTTTCATGTTGACGTGGGTCTTGGAGATCAAACTCAGGCTGTCAGGCTTGTGTGGCAAGTGCCTTTAGCCACTGGACCATCTCGGCACCCCAACCTTGATGATGACATGAAGAAGCTGCAGGTTTTCCGCTGGTGTGCCCGTTGCTACAGCACATCTCAATCCCTTCTCCGAAGGCCCCCAGCTCTTTGGGGGATATTTGAATGTGCTCAGGAGCAAAGCCACTGTGTCTCAGACTCTGTCCCTTGTCCACTGTCTGGTAAGGGCAGCTCTCCTGCTCAGTGTCCTAGTCTTGCATGTCTTTGGATCACAGAAGCTTCTCTCCAGAGATTAACCGGTGCTCGGTTATGGGAATGGATAATTTGCTATGGAGGCACTAACACTTTTAGTGGATACAAGGAGAATCCTGTACTGTCTCTTTCCCCATCAACTGATGGCCTAGAAATGGCACCACTGGTGTCCCACACTTTTCAAGCCCTTCTTGTAGCTTCTTCCTTTCAGAATTCAGATCTTGCTTTTATGGGAGAAGTGGATTGTTCATTCCATTTCTGTTTCACTCTCTGGTCCCCACTTCTTTTTCTAGTCACCTGCATATTAAATTGTAAATCTTTACCCCACCCCCACTAATATAAAAAACACATAGGTTGCTTGGAAAAGAGTCACAGTAGGGTCAGCTTCAGGGTCTTTGGTCCTGTGCAGTCGTGCAGGGTCCTGAGAAGGCTCTAAGCACTGGTTAATGCTCTCCTGAAATTTGGAATAACTTTTGAACAAGGGCCTACCCTTCCCTTTTTGCCCTGGGCTCCTGAAGTCAGGCAGCTAATCCAGACTGCTACCCTGCCTCAGCAGAGACTCAGGCTTTGAAATTCTCTATAGGGTTGCTTCACCAGGCAGCGTCTCCCTTTTGGATTAATTTTTTAGATTACCATTAACAAACAGAAATTCTCTTTAAAGCGTTTCCCAGTGTCTGGCAATGAGAGTTACTGATATTTTTTATATATAGGATCATTGAAGCCTATAGTATATGGGAATCCTGCAATAGTTTGCTATTACTCATTATTTTTAGATACCAAATCAATTTTAAAGTGTTTCTAATAACAACTTTTCGAACATAAAGGCTAATAGTGTATTATTTTAAAATTAAAATTTAAAGCTAGCATACAAAATAATGGGTTTCATTATGGCATTTTTCTTTTTCTTTTTAAATATTCTTATTTTTATTTTGTGTGCATTGGTGTTTTACCTGCATGTATGTCTGTGTGAGGGTGTTAGATCTTGGAGTTACAGACAGTTGTGAGTTGCCTTGTGGATGCTGGGAATTAAACCCAGGTCCTCTGGAAGAGCAGACTGGGCTCTTAACCACTGAGCCAACTCTTCAGCTCCCATTATGGCATTTTCCAGACAAACATGTTGTTAATCTCTCATTTGTTCTCCTCCACCATTAGTAAGAATTTATCAGAAAACAAATTAAAAGCTGGATATGGTGGCACACATCTGAAATCCCAGTCCTTGGATAGAATGAGGCAAGATTTTAAGTTCAAGGCCAGCCTGGGCTACGTAGGGAGACCATGTTTCATCTATTACATAGACAGATGTTAAGCGAGGGCTGTGGAAACAGAACAAGACAAATCCTTGTTGAGCTCAGAATAACAGATACCCAGGAGGGGTTTCTGCATGGAGACAGAGTACGGGAGGGTCCTACATATCATTTAATAGACCTATAGTGTTATGTGGAGGGGCTTGGTGTCCCTGAGGTGACAGTAAGGAAAGTACTTCAGACTTGCAGTCGCTGCGGCTGAGGAGACTTGCTTTTTGATTTAATTTTACCATGTTTTGTTTCCCCTGCTGTGTTTTTAGCCTCAGCGCCTCAGTCGGACGAAGGCTCCGACATTGACTCTGAACCTGATTTACCCCTCAAGAGGAAGCAGCGCAGGAGTAGGACCACCTTCACTGCCGAGCAGCTAGAGGAACTGGAACGTGCTTTCGAGAGAACCCACTACCCAGACATTTACACCAGGGAGGAGCTGGCCCAGAGGGCGAAGCTTACAGAGGCCCGTGTGCAGGTACGGATGCCCAGATGTCAGAGACTTCCTCAGATCTAGGGGGTGACCCACCCTCCCCAACCCCCTACCGCGTGTGTGCAGGAGTCTCCTCTTGGGAAACATTTCTGTTGTTTGGTGATGGGTTCTCACTAAGTAGCCCAGGATGGTGTGGACTCTTAAACCTCCTGCCTCAGCCTCTTGAGTGCTGGGCTTATATAGAGAGATACAACACAACACACCTGAAAAGTGTTTGAGATAAAAAACAAAACAACAACAACAACAAAACACTAGCATCAGTGCTTAGAGTGAACGCATATCTGCAGGCTTCAGTTATTGCTACAAGGTTACATTTTTGGCACACAGAAGTTCATGTCATTCCTGTGCACTCATCCTTGTAGTATCCTGATTGTGTACCCAGAAACTATGTGACTGTTGAGGGTGATCCCAGATTAACAGCAAACATATTTTGAGTGGTTATTTTGCACCAGGCACTATTTTAAGTCTTGCATTTCACGTGGATTAACTCATAAATCATCGCTAAAACCATTGGTTGACATAGTTACTATCCCCAATCTATTGATAAGGAAGCAGCAATGTCAGCTAGTTAAATAATTACCTAAGCTAGCATTGCTGCCTGCTAGCACAGAAACCACCGGATCTCTCATGCTTCGTCAGTCGCCTTTCCATTAGGAAAATGTGCAGAAGTGCGTAGGGTAGTCCTTCCATTTACAGATTATACAGTTTGGAAGCAATTATATTATTTTCAGATCATTGTGATATCTGATTTTGGACATCAACTTGGCACATCTAGGAAGAGGGATATGTCCAATTGAGGAATTGCCTCTATCAGATTGGTCTATGGGTATGTCTGTGGCACATTATCTTGATTGCTAATTGTTGTAGGAATCTAGCCACTGTGGATGGTGCCATCCCTAGGCAAGTGGTCCTAGGTTGTTCAAGAAAACAGGTTGGGCATGAGCCAGAGGCATTAAGCCAGTAAGCAGTGTTCTTCCGTGGTCCCTACTTCAGCTCTTGTCTCCAAGCCCATGCCTTGGCTTCCTTGAGTGCATGATGGACTGTAAAGCATGAATGAATAAGTCTTTTCCTCCCCAAATTTTTGGTTGTGATTATCATGGCAACACAAAGAAAATTAGGACAATCATATCTAATACTCTTTCATTTTTTTACATGACTCTGTGTGTATGTGTGTGAGTGATGTGTGCTTGTGTGATGTGTCTGGGTATGTGGTGTGTTTGTGTGGTGTGCTTGTGTATGTGGTGTATATGTCGTGTGTGTGTAGTGTGTGTGGTGTATGTGTATGTGGTATGTGTGATTGTGTGGTGTGTATGTGTGGTGTGAATGCATGTGTGTTTGTGTGCTATGTGGTGTGTGTTCTGTGTGGTGTGTGTGCTGTGTGCTGTGTGTGTGTGTGTGTTCTGTGAGTGTGTGTCACATGTGGAGGTCAGAGGACAACTTGTGGGATTCAGTTTATCTTTCCTCCGTGTGGGTTCTAGGGATTGAACTCATATCAAGCTTGGTTTCAAGCACCTTTAGCCAGCTGAGTCATTTTTCAAGCCCTGAGTTATCTTTTGAACTCTTAGGTGAGCTTCTAGAAGGGGTTATTTAAGTTACTACATCTCTCTTGAGTGTTTTCATAACCGGTGGTGAACTTTCACTTCAATTTTTGGGTACATTACCAAGACTAAGGTATTTCCAGAATGCCTTGTCATCCCAGAAGTTGATTTTCTCTATCTGGAAGTGCCATGTGACACTGGCATTTCATGGTCAAAGTCAGGCTGGTACTTTGGCCATGAGCTACCCAGCTGTTGACACAACACTTTCACCTATGCACTACATTACTTGTCTATTGAAACAGCGTCTTCAGCTGCTGAGTCTAGGGAGTGGAATTGCTTTACTTAGCCTTCCATATGATCTGTCATCCCAGAACAGTCAAGGAGTAAAGAGATGGACTAGTAGTTCTCTCCAGGAACTACTAGTCCAATAGGGATAATGAAGTCACCACACAAATAATCATAACAAACAAACAAACAAGCAAACAAGGCAGATGTGTCAAGTACAGATAGAAATGCATCATGTGGGTAGAGATAAAGAAAAGATGAGATCTTGGAGAAAATAAGAAAAATACCAAATATTTATCGGTCAGAGCCAGGGAGGGGAACATATTAATCCTAGGGCACAACAAAGGGACAAAGTTTGAAGTACCTGGGCTGCATGTGAGATGACCACTCAGTTTTCCATCCAGGCATTCTGGAGAGACCAGGGACTAGTCTCTTCTGGTTGGAGCATCAACAGAGGAAGGGCAGAAGAAGGGATGGGTGCAGAGCCAGGCCTAGGGTATCCTGTGAAGGCTTAGCTGTCATGCTATCTGGCTTACATTCACAAAGAACACTGGGGTCTGTGGCAAGTAGATCATGGCGTTGGCAAGGATGGGATGATGGTGAAAGTATTCTGTGGCAGAAGGTAGGCAGCTGTCATGTAAGCCAGAGGTGGGTTGGAAGGGTGAAGGGAAGAGTCAGGGACATACCAGGCTTCTCGAGACTGATAATTTAACATTGGAAGTATTAAACTGGGGAGATTGCTCAGTGGTTAAGGCACTTGCTGAGCAAGCATGAGGTCTATAGCCAGGATCCCCAGAACTCATGTAGATGCTGTTGGGTATGGTGGCATGTCTAGAATTTCAGCCCCAGAGGGAGGAGACAGGGCATCACCACAGAAAGCTGGTTGGCACCAGACTAGTCCTATTGACCAGCTTTTCAACTGAGAGATATTACCTCAGTGAATAAAGCAGAAGAGATTGAAGACGATTCGGAACATTAGTGTTGAACTTTCACATGACTTCTCCATGTGAAACACACACACACACACACACACACTGAGACAGAGAGAGAGAGACAGAAAGAGAGACAGAGAATGGGATGGTTGAATTGCACAGGAGACAAACCATGACCGTGACCAGGATGCTTTTACTCTGTATCCTAGTGAAACGGGTTGAGGGCATCAATAGTTCTCTTATGCTGTAATACTATAACCACAGATATAACGTGCATCAAGAGTCATATCACATCTATTTTGCTTCTGTTATTGTGATTGCCCCACTTAAATGCAAGATGAGATCCAGTGATTTCCCATTTAGCTCTTGCGCTTCATGAAGAGTGAAAATCTGAAGCATGCTCATCCTTGTTGTATCTCATTCTTGCCTTTGTTAAAAACGAAGGAGGAGACAGAATAAGTTTCAAACCCACATAGCTTGTACAGTCCCCAACATTCTCATCTGGCTCAGTGAAGTCCAGAGCACAATAATAATAGCCTATTAACTTTCAGAGGACATGGGATCAAACCAATAAAGAGTGGTTTATATATTTCTATATGGTCACCTCCCCTCCAAAGCAGGGCCCTCATTAAAGTAACAGCTGTCTTAATGTGGCTTTAACCCGGTGACTCTTTACATTCCTTATGGCTTCTTTAGTTCCCTTGAGACACATCATGTCTTGCACCAGGCTATGATCTATAGCCTAACAAATTCCCTAGAACAACCAGCATATGGATCTTTTACTTAACCCAGCAGGAAAAAGAAGCAAGCAGTTAATCACTGATTAAAATGCCAGCATAAAATGCTGGAGTCCTTGGGAAGAGCTGGGAAAGCGGTAGCTAAGTCAACTCACTTTGAATGATAGCCAGAGAGTGTGAGTTACTTTAATTTGGGGGCACCTGGGAGAAACCAAACCTCAAACCCTCAAAGCCCAAACCATGTCTACATTTCGTGTTTTAGACCTTTGAGGAAAAATATTTCCAGTCTCTTCTGGATAGAGATGAAACTAAACCTACGATAACTTAGGTCTTTTCAGGGTTGCATAGAAATTCATTTGGACACTTGTGTTCCTCGCTGCCAGATCTGAGCACACAGCAAGCTAAGGTTCTCTGTTGTGCAGCAAAGGCTCTGTCTAGAAATAATGTCAGAAGAAGAGGAAGAAGGAAAGAGGAATCAGAAAAAAAGAAAAACAAAAACAAAGACAGAGTATTTGCTGCATTCTTTGGGTAGATGTTCAAAAGCAAACAATGGGAACATGAAGGTTTTATTGAGACAGAATTACTTGCAAATATTTATGGCATGCAACATGTTAGTATTTCATCTCAGAAAGAAGTAGGCGAGTTTCTTACTGTCAAGAGGAGAGAAGACATGAAGGACAGGTAACCGTGGAAACAGCATCTGACCAGGAGATAGGAGGTGTCATTTTTGGTCCCAGTTTGCCAAGAGTGTCTTGTTTGTGTATGCACGTGTGTCTGTCATCTGTCTGTCTGCTTAGACAAATTTTAGCTTTGGACAGTGTCTCAGGATTTCATATTTTCAAATATCATCTCCCCCATATCCCTGAACTGAAAGCTACCGTTCAGTGGTTATGAGCACTCGGTACCCTTGCAGGGGACCCCGATTCAGTCCTCAATATGTACATGGCAGCTCATTACCGTCTCTAACTCCAGTCTCAGGTGATTCAGGGCCGTTTTTTGACTTCTTGGACACCAGGCACACGTGCGGTGCACAGATATACAGGCAGGCAAAATATCCATGCAATACATAAAATAAAACAAAATAAGAAAAAGGAAAAAAACCCTATTAGGCAACAAGATCTTGCAGAACCTTCTGCAGTAGAAGTTTGGGATTCCTAGAAGAGCCCAAAGGAGTCTTAAAGTCACCTAACACATCTTTACAGTTTAGAAGGTAGGATAGGTATAGAAAACCCTGACTCCTGAATGTAACAAAATTATAGTCACCTGCCACTTTCGCAAGGATCTTCCTCTTGATGCGAGAAGATGCATGTGACTGGGCTTGGATGTGTCCATGGACCTGTGACACGTGTGATGACATGGCTGTCCTCCTCCTCTGCCTGCTCTCCCTCCATATGTAGGATGGGAGGGAGGCCTGGGGAGAACTGGCACTGGAAGGAGATGGGAGTGAATGAGAGGAACCAGCAGCATGTCCTGAAGTTACCTACTTGGCCTACACTCTCCTTGGCCTGGTAACAGTACACATCACAGAAGCTAGTGTTCAGTGAAGCATTTTACAATCCAGTGGAATTCTCTTTCAAATGATGGAGTATTATGCTTTCCTTCCCATTTTTCAAGTTGCATTTGAAATAACCCATCTGGAATAATGTAGGTTAGTCTGCCTTTGAGGACAAACCAAAAATGTGAACAAGTATTTTATTGATGGGTAAAATTAGGCTCACACCATGGGACAATTAGCACTAATCCATGAAACTTGGAAGCAAATTTGACCTAAGCCACCATTCAAGTCAAGCTGGCTCTCAATTATTTGAGGTGTTCTGTGGGCACTTCTCTGTTTACTCATTGGCACAAAAGGCTTTGGCTGTTGACTGCAGAGTGAAGGACACCCAAGCCAGGCTTTAATTAGGTTTTTTCACAAGAGTCCACATGAGCTTTTAATTTAATAGTATTTATTGAATGTTTAATATCTCCTAAACATCCTTTTAAGTGCTTTGTCACATGCTTGCAGTAGTTTTATGTATTTCTCATTTAGCAAATGAGAGCCAGAACTCCACAGACACTAAGCAAAGTGTTCAAGGTCAAAGCGATGGCAGGAAGGGAGCTGGGGTTTGATTTTTGACTGGTCAGCACGGTGCCTAGCTGAATAAAAAGCATTCCTGCATTTTCACTGTGGGAGTACTAACTCTCTCTACCCCAAGCCCACACTCAAGGATGAGTCTGAGCAAGTTGGTTACTTTACTCATGGAGGGAAATTTTATGAAAATTGCATTCTTATTTTGAAACCCATTATCCTTTTCATCTCATAGTTATCATGATGTTATAGGGAACTTTTTGAATGGTTTCAGTTTTACCCCAATAACTGCTGGATGCCTTAATATTATAGGAATCCACATGAAAGATCATTTTTAAACAAGTTTATTGACAGGTAAGATGAGTCAGGCTGCTATTCATCAATTGAAATAAAAGCTTTGGAGGAATATTTAATGTATTTGATATTATACAGACAATTACAGGCAATTAACTGTACATGATAGTAGACTATCAAGCAATGTATGCCTCCTGCTATCACTTGCTTAGCATGTTAGCAGTGATGGGAAAGCCAGAAGAGGTGATGTGGAGAGAATAAAATTACATTGACTTTTAGATTATAGAATTATACTTAACAGACAGTAGCTGATTTTGTAAACCTTGTTGTTTCTGCCTTATTGGCAAGGGCTTCTTGGAACAGCAAAGCTAGTTTGTTTCTGTTGCTCCGGTTACTCTTTTCAAAATATGGAGAAATATCTTCAATTTTTTTATGTGTGTGAGTATTTTGCTGTGTGAATGTCTGTGTACCACGCGAGCATCTGTGCATGAGGAGCCCAGAAAAGGGGTTTGTATTCCCTACAATTGGAATTGCAAACAGTTGTGAGCTATCACATGGGTACTGGGAATTAAACACGGGTCCTCTGCAAGAGCAGCCAGTGCTGTTAACTGCTTAGCCCCTAATAAGACAACATTTCTAATCATTGTAACAAAGTCATAAATTCTCTTGTCCTGTTGGGGATGGAACCATTCTGGGTTATGCATTCACACGATACAGTAGATTATGTGTTGATTGCCTGTTAGGAATTGATAATTCAATGCTGAGCTACAGGAGGCATCTGAGTAGAGGGATTGTTTTTCTTCTTCAGTTAAGTATAGGGTGATGACCACATTCCAGTATCCCAAAGTTGGTCAACAAAGGCATTTAAAATGAAGGTCATTTCAAGGGCAACTTTTCTTTTTCCAAGTGGAAATTGAAGACGCTTCCTGAGTTTCGAAACAGGAAGCAAAGGCTAAATCTCATTTTCAGCACAGTGTGTTTTTCCTTTAGTGATGCATCTGACTGGCATGGGTGGGTCTGGAAGCACCGAGGTTGGCATTGGCTAGATCATTAGAAACCTCTGATGAAGAGGCCAGAGACAAGCAGGTCAGTCCTCCTGGGCCTGCTTTTCTCTAGAAAGAGCTTGGATATAGGGAGCTTCAGTTTAAACGTTAGGATTATTTCTTTGGAAACTCCCAACTTCCTGTTGAAAGTTTATTTTTTTAGTAAAGGTTTGCTTCTCAACTATTTTTCTTGATTTTTTTTTATTGTAATGCTTGAATTTGAACCCGAGACATTTTACAAGCTAGGAAAATTCTTTACCGTTGAGGTATACCCCTAGTTCCTTCCTGTCAGTTGTGTTCTTTTTTAAGTTGTAGCTATAACAGGTACTATACAACAAACATAAACTTTTAAAAATAAACCTCTCATGGGTTTATGCTGTATCTCTAGTATTTACTAGTATCAGTTTGGAGAAATAAAATGAGAACAAACTTCAAATCCGTCGCCACTTAGTTTGGATTCTGTCTTTTGAGGGTAATTGTGGAAAGGGGTGAGGTTTGTTCATCAATTTGAGCAAAGATGACCTCTATGTTTCTTTTTTATTTTCTTTTTTTCCCCTAGACAGGGTTTTTCTGTGTAACAACTTTGACTGTCCTGGAACTTGCTTTGTAGACTAAACTGACCTTGAACTCACAGAGATCCACCTACCGCTGCTGGAATTAAAGGTGTGCTATCACACCTGGCTTTAGACTTCTTTACAACTTTGGTCTATGGCATTGGTAGAATGCTCTTAGACACTGTGGTATGCTGAGCTTCATGGCCATAGACGACCCTGGTCAGTCCAACCTGGCTTATTTATCCAAAGGTTATAGAAAGAAGGCAATGGGTAGAGATCTGGGCAACAGGCTTCAGCAATATGCAAGTGCAGATTTCTGAGTGCTTTATGGAGGGTGCACTGGAATTCAGGGTGGTGTCTATGTGAACGAAGTCACCTCAGGGCATCTAGGAGTTTTCTTCTTCCAGGATAGCACAGAAATCTGGAACTCTGTGGCGTGCAGTTGATTTTAAGTAAGTGATGGATCAACCTTCCTTGAACCAGAAGGGTCTTTCGAACTTGTCTCTTTATCATGTAAAGTCTGATTACAGTGGGTGGTAGGGTAAGTACTTGCAGGCATGAATTCTCACCCCTAGGCTTTTCCACTAATACAGAGGATGCCAAGCTCTGCCTTGCTTTTCTTCCCATTTCACCAGTGGCAATGTATTAAATGAAGTGAATCACTAACTCAATTACTTATCAATATGGGAAGATACTGGATTATCTTATTTTCCCCTTGGAAACATAAGGAATATTAAAAGGTAATATTTGGGGCTGGTGAGACGGCTCAGTGGGTAAAGGTGCTTGTCACCAAGCATGATGACTGAGGATGTGGGTTCACGCTCTGGAACGCATAGAGTGGAGGGCATGGACTCTTGCAGGTTATGGCCAAAGTATGTTCTAGGCAAGGACTTTTCCAGCTGAATTCTCTTTTCTTAGTCAGGCTGGTCACATCTTTATATTCACTACTGTGACCTCTATCAGGAGAGATACTCCTTATGACAATTACATCAAACTTTTTTCTTTTTTTTTTAATTTTTACATCCAACTTTTAAAATGAGCAGAAACTTTGTCCTCACTCTAAAGTTTTTCTGATACCTTAGCTTCCTAAAACAGAGCTTCTGTGTCCTATGAGCAATTCTTCTGGGCTCTGTGAAGGAGACTGCCTGAATGCCACACTCCCATTGCATCCCCTCCACCCCTTTGACTGCAAATGCTATGTGTTCCTCTGTGTTAGGTTTCAGGGAACTTTCTATAAAAATGATGAAGTTTTTGGTTGGTAGGAATCTTCTCTTGTGGTGTGGTAAATACTATGTGTGCACCCTGGAAAATTTACTCCAAGTTTTACATTTTGGTTATGCAGATTTAAATCATAGTTGGGCACGATCTTGAAGCATAATAAAAACCTGTATAACACCATTCAACACGGCAGACATTCAGTTAGATTTCTGGTTGGTAGCCTTTTCTGTTCTCCATTGACACACACGAGGAGCAGGGCTTTGAATTACTGAAAGATAGATTAATCTCCAACAGATTTTTCTGAACATAGTTGATTAGTATAATGTTCAGCACAGAGCATACCAGTACAGAATATATTGCAAAATGCTTTCCTTTTTTCTTTGAAGCTCTTCATCAGCAGCTATTGTAATTGAGATGAGTGTGATGTCTCATACTTTGAAAAATATGGTAAAATGGCTCTACTTGTATGAATTTGTGTTCAATGTGACTATCTAGAACAGTGGTTCTCAATGTGTGGGTTGTGACCTCTATGGGGGGGGGTCAAATGACCTTTTCATAAAGTTTGCCTAAGATCACCAGAAAGCACAGATATTTACACTATGATTCACAACAGTAGCAAAATTACAGTTATGAAGTAACAGCGAAAATAATTTTATGGTTGGGGGTCACCACAACATAACGAACTGTTGTATTAAAGTGTCCCAGCATTAGGAAGGATGAGAACTACTGCTCTAGGACCTATACTTACACTGATTATAGATATACAGAAATAGACTGATATGAATATAAAGCCTAAGGCTTGGTGTATATAATTGGCAAGGTCAAATTTAGGACATGAGCCATATTTGTGTATGTGGGGGTGTTCAAACGCCTCATGGACTTCCTGGAAGGCTATGATATGAGTGTGCAATGGCATTGGTGGCAGTAGTAAGGAATGCTTACTGTCCTGAGCCCTGCTTAGCAGTCTCAGCCCAGGGCCATTATCAGCTTTACTGATGCAAGTCCGCATAGGGTCCCTGCAGCCCCCTTCTTGACCCCTGACATTTAACTCTTCTTTCACCCCAACATATTACAGAAGACAGAGGGCTCTTGGTTGTATTTGCCCTGTCAGTAAGGGGCCTTTAATCTGTTTTAGCATGAAAAATTCATTAAGAATGTACTATTATTTCATCAGTGAAATCCTCAAATTTTAAATTAAATCCATAGGTCTGGTTTAGCAACCGCCGTGCAAGATGGAGGAAGCAAGCTGGGGCCAATCAACTGATGGCTTTCAACCATCTCATTCCGGGGGGATTCCCTCCCACCGCCATGCCGACCCTGCCAACATACCAGCTGTCGGAGACCTCTTACCAGCCCACGTCTATTCCACAAGGTATCTAGGAAGGAAAACAGGGTGATAAAGGTGTAACTCCCAATCGCTTCCCGTGGGCTGATTCACACAGTTAATTCTGCCTGAGATGCTGACATTGATGCTGTTGGTGTGCCAACCATGTGACATCAGTTCTCCCTGGACATATCTACCATGCCTCAGAAGTAGTATGTGCTATATTTGAATTTCTTTAGATAAAATGTGCTGTGATGAAACACTATTTCAGTGTTTAAAAAAACAAAAGAAACATGGGATCCCCCCACTCGCCTTTTGTTAAAACCTGAGCACTATATTTATATTCCTGGTTGCACTCAACTGAAGTTCAAGGGTCATAACTAGTTGCAATAGTAATTCAGGGCACGCAAGCTTTGGTAAAGTCATAATGTGTTAGGGCAAGAGGGAAATGGGATAATGTTAAATTGTAAGACTATTTCAGGGTTGTTCAAGACAGTGTTTTCAACATTCTAAACTCTGATGTTCTATTCATGCATTAATGCTTTAAGAGTATATTTGATGAGAAATTTGGTACCTGTAGTGATAATATTGTGTTCACTACGCAACTTGGCTTGTTAGTATTGCTAGTGTAGTATCTCTGTGTGTGACCTGGGAGTTTATGACAAGATAGATAGATATAACTTATTGGTTGGGTGGTTTTACAACTGAATAGTAAGAAATGCACTTGGAGTTCTCATAGTATCTGACCAAATGGGTAACTACTATTGGGAACTTTTGTATTGAACTTGCTCTGTTGGCCTATCAGAGAGCATCATGGTCTAACAGAAAGCATCATCGTTGGTCCTCTTCTTTGTTTCAGCTGTGTCAGATCCCAGCAGCACTGTTCATAGACCTCAACCGCTTCCTCCGAGCACGGTACACCAAAGCAGTATTCCTTCGAACCCAGACAGCAGTTCTGCCTACTGCCTCCCTAGCACCAGGCATGGATTTTCAAGCTATACAGACAGCTTTGTGCCTCCGTCGGGGCCCTCCAACCCCATGAACCCCGCCATTGGCAATGGCCTTTCACCTCAGGTCAGTCCTGTGTTTCTAGATAGATGATTTGCCGTTACCAGAACCAAATAGCCAATTCCCCGAGGCAGTGGTGTAATGAATTGCCAAATGTAAACCATAATGTATTCTTTATACAAGCCACATGATTTCAGTTTTCGGGTTTCCTTTCTTTCTTCCCTTTCTACTGGAGGCTTCAAAAGTTATAGCTTAGACTTAAAATTCAAGTGACTTCTAATGCAATCATGGAGACTCTGTGTTTATACTTAGCTGTCAAGGCGTTTGTCATATGTCTTCCTTGTCCTTAGCTCTGAGTTTTGGTTGAAAGCCTTCAGACTTGCCAGGGTTTCTTTTCTTTTGGCTTTTGTTTGTTTGTTTCAAATGGTGTTTGGTCAGCTGACAGAATTTTGAGGAAAAAAAATCCTCATCAGAAAACACCAATGCTCTGGCATAACAATTGGAGCGGAAGCAGCAATTTTTGTGTAGAGAGAGAGAAAGGGAAGTGAAGAAGGGGAGGGGGAAAAGGGAAGGAGGGAAGTGGGTAAGTAGAAAAGGGAGGAGGAGAGGAAGGGAGAAAAGGAGGGAGGGGGGAGGGAGGGAGGGAGAGAGGGAGGGAGGGAGGGAGGGAGAGAGAGAGAGAGAGAGAGAGAGAGAGAGAGAGAGAGAGAGAGAGAGAGAGAGAGAGAGAGAGAGAGAGAGAGAGAGAGAGAGAGAGAGACCCAGCTGAAGACTGCAGAACCTGGAATGAATGAGTTATAAGAACACAAATTAGGAGAATTGCTAGTCTTTGGGACTATATAAATATTTGGACGTTGTAATTGTTTTTCTAATTTGCATTGGACTATGAGTTTTTCTTGGGGGATTGCATTAATAAATTGCCCTGATAATTGCATGTCAGAAGGATGGTTAAATTTCCTACATGTGGCATCTGTCTGAACTTGACATTATTAGCAGTTGTTTAAATACAGATAGCTTGATTTTATTAGAGAGAGAGAGCAGTTGGCCCAGGTGGCAAGGAGAGCCACCCACTAAATTTGGAGAAATGTCACAAAGGGATTGCAATCTATAATTGCAATCGAGGATCTCTTTGGGGCCGAGAGTGAGAATTTTAACAGCTTTATCTTTTCTCTACCTCTTTTCTCCTCTTGCTGGCTAGAAAAACAGAGAGAAGCTCAGAATGACACAGATGAAAAGTGAAAAGACAATTATACTCAATTACACACTAATCACGGGCTATCACCGCTGCCTAAGCACTGAGAGAGGATTCTAATAGGCAGAAAATGAGATTTTAATGGCACAAAGGGTGGCCAAAATAACGACTCATATATCTTTGCCTTCCCCGGCTTCTTCAACTGGTGGTGTGCATCTTCGGAGTGGAGCTCTTGGGCTCTGTGTAATGGTGATAACTCTGAGCAGCTGAGGAGTTCAAAGCCACAGGAGTTGAAAAGACTGGATGGCAAAGGCAATGAAATAAACATTTCCGCCTCCAGGCAAAAGTTCATAAATCCTTTTTTGTAACAGTAAATGTAATTAAGTTTTATAGATTCCTATAGCACATCCTGGGCTTAAAAAAATGTAAGAGGTGGCTTTAAGCCTCAGCAGGAAAATAACAACATGAAAACAATGGAAGCCTTCCTATAGGACTCCTTTGATTTCCAAGTCCTGGCATTTGGGGATGCGATTTTACATGACAATGACAGGCTTCCACTAAAAGAGCCAGCTTTGTAGCACTCATTTATAACCCTCATTCCCTGGGTAGAAACTTCTTCCAGAGTTTAGAAGCAGCATGGAAAGGTTCAGCAAGTTTTAACATCAGCCAGTCACTAAGGGGCCAGAAAACAGCTTTTTAGTTTCTACTCATCTACTTTATTTTCTGTGCTCTGGTGTTTTGCCTGCATGTACGTCTGTGTGAGGGTGTCAGAGTCCCTCCATAGGCGTTACAGGCAGGTGTGAGCTGTCATGTGTGTGCTGGGAACTGAACCCAGGTCATCTGGAAGAACAGCCAGTGCTCTTAACCACTGAACCACCCCACTGAGAACAACTTTTTATGGATGAATTTCTTGGAAAGTTTCCACGGGAGTAACGTGTGACCCGAACTGCTTCTGTGAGCGGCAGGATTCCATCAGAAGGTCTAAGAACCTTATTTTCTTGAGTCGTATTGAAAATAGCACAAACTCGAATTCTGTATTTGAAATGGTTAGTTTTTTGCACACAGTGGTCTGGGAATAATGTTATAGCAGTATTACTTAAGATGATGTGTCAGAAGTTGATCTTCCAGCCACCAAAGCCCATCTTCAAGACAACTGTCAGTTCTCAACTGTCAGTGACTTCAGAGTTGGTGCCAGGATGGGGTCCTTTCATATCTAGCGATGGAAAAATCTCGTAGGCAACTTCCCCTTGTGTTTCTTTATTTCATCTTACATACTATTTCAGTTTCGTTCTTAACCTTTGTGAATAGTATATTTTGTGTTTCGACTGTAGACCAGTAGAGTTCCATCCTGTTTTAGTTCTTACTGCCTTCCCAAAGAGCCAGAAAAGAGAGAATAGTGTCCCTCATGAGACAGGGAGTGAGTGGATCTGCATCATCCAAACACATTTATAAAATAAGGAGGAGAAAATGGAGACTAGAACTCAGATTCCTACACCCCTTTGGACTAATTGCATCTCAACAATGCCTCTGTTGAGGTAAAAGATGCCTACAGTGGTTTTGGTTGTTTGGCTTTATTAGAAACCAGTATAAAGAAAGTTATGACAAACCCAATTCTAACAACTTGGTTCAGCTGAACCTGAAGTGAAAATAAAAAGACAGCTATGACTGTAGCTTCTGCTTTGCAGAGACCACATTATTGATGTACTGATCGGATCATTTGATTCTAAAAACAGAATTGGGTGATTGTCACTTTTCTTATTTGCCTGTCTCTTTCCTACTCCTTCCAACTCTGTTTTGTCACCTGTTGAGCAGGCAATCCAGGGCAGGACCCATCGTTTGGAACCCACCATTAGTGTAAGGGAGTTGGAATTAGAACCCGGGATTCCTGGCGATTGGGTTAGGATCTAGTCTATTACTGAGTAGAAAGGAAGAACACTTTGAAACAAAGCAGAGACAGGATTAGTCACATTTGGAAATATTAATAGAGACTGGTTTCCTAAGCTTTTTATTTTATTTTTTCAGTCCTGGGGATTGAATTTAGGTTTTGGTTTTAGATTTATTCATCTTATTTCATGTGCATGAGTGTTTTCCCTGCATAGATGTATACGCACCACTGTATTCCTCGTATTTGCAGAGGTCTGAAGAGGGTGTTGGAACTGGAGTAACAGACATTGGTGTGTCACCATGTGGGTGCTGAAATCTGAACCCAGGTCCTCTGCAAGAGCAGTCAGAGCTCGCAACTTCTGAGTCTTCTCTCCAGTTCCTGAATTTATGCTTTAAGTTAGGTTAATTTACAATTTTTTATAAGCCTGACTGATTTTCATTCATCTTTTAATTTCTACCAGTAATAAAAACATTCCACGTTGACTGTATAGTTTTTTTAGGACAACCACTCATGATTTTTTGGTACATTGACTTTGAGTTCTTTTTGCATCTGAAGGCCTTTCTAAAAATTGAGATAGATGGTAGTATATAGATTTTCCATCTGATGGAATGTCCTTTTGAATTATTGTGGCCAATTCATTGCAGCTTTCTTCGGTAGAATCTATTTGGCATATTTCAAATATTTGTGTGTTTTATTTGACATTTTCTTCAGTATCACCGATGTTGGCCCATTGTACTATTCAAACTGGTAGGGAGTAACAGAATGTATGAGAAACAATGTACAATGGGGTTTTCTAGTATTTTGTTTGTTTTTTGTTTCATTGCTTTTTTTTTCTCTCTTGATATAAGGTTTCACTCTATACCAGGTGGGCCTGGGACTTGTAGCAATCTTTCTACCTTAGTCTTTTATTACTGGAAATGCAGGTATGAGCCACTATGATTGGTTTATTTCTAGTTTTTTGATAAGGAATTGATAGACACATCATTCGCCAAATGATACCCACCCTTTTTATTCTTCTTTGAACACGAGTCACACATTTTTGTTACTAGTCTCTGCCACTGTCCTTGACCTGCTTGTTTTGGGAGCCTAGTCAAATGGTTTCACAAATGGAGGGCTGGCCTCTCATTTGCTAGCAAAGGCTGGATCTGTCAGGACACTTGAGGCAAGATTCTCAGAGATGGACAGGGGCAGGGCAGGTTAAAACCTCAATATTTCCTGCCTTTTGCATAGCTGTCTGACATATTTAACCTTTCCAGGAGATGGGGATCAGAATGAGGCTCCAGTATGCCTTGAGAAGACCACCCAACTCACCCTAGTAAGAACTTTCCCTGGCAGCAGCATCCTTCTTTTGAAGGGCTATATATATTCTCTTGCTGCAAGAACAATACAGAATTCATACAGAGAGAGACACTAGTTTCAGTATGTTACACACATGTGGTCAAAACAGAGGACACTGACTTGGAAGTTGGATTGCAAGGAAATATTACTATACACTCAAGACACGAGGCTTATTAACGTGTGGCCCATGTTCTTTTAATTAGCTTTCCTTTGCATGAAATACTACCCTGAACGCTTCCCCACCCCCAAAACACACATAGCCAACACCCCCAACATGGGCAATTAGATTAACAAACTTGCATAATTTCATGCTCCACCTCCACCTATTCCTATAAACTTTGCAGTATTTGTCGGCAGCTTCCAACAAGCTCTTGAGTGAAATGCTCTATCACTAGGTTACAGGGGGTCTGGGGAGATTCTCTGTGGCTCTGTCATCTATGAAAATGGGCCAACTTGGCAGCATTTAGGGCTCATCAGCAATTGCAAATGATTCTTCAAATGTTTTGGGTTTGGTAAAACCTAAAACACATTCTTGCCAAGCACTTTTTCTCCTTAATTTTTCAAACTGTGTATTTCAGGGAACATTTGATCCATATGGTTTTGATTCATTTACTCTTATATCATTGAGGGGTTTTCCCCCTTTGGAGCCAT